GCGCGCGCAGGGGTCATCTGGTTACGCATGCTCAGCCATGCTTCTCTGCAAAAAGTCGGCAAATCCCGGAAAATGGGGGAGGGGGGTGTTTTAAAGAGGGTAAAGAGAGGGGAATCAACCTTTGGGCCCCTTTCTGTTGACATAACTCTTGTCTCGCCTTCCGAATTTCAAAACGCACCCCAAGAGAAATCCTTGGCCCACGTCAGGGTACGCAACTGTTTGTTTGCAACAAAACAACCTGACGCTCTTCATACTTAGTCTACCCCAAACTCCAAGATAGTTTTTTTCAGACCAGCACCGCTTGTCAGTTCGACCAACTTCTCACCCTGCCACCTGCCTCCAACCTCCGAAATTAGCACACTCTCTCCAATTCAAAGATCAAGAGACCCTCCCTTCCAAGCCAACCCCCCAAACAAATCCGTCCGGCAAAAGACACGCCACCTCTCCGGCCCTGGACCCCGAACCCCCCCCCCCTGACCCCCCCGGCCCCGATGGCCTGCGAGTGGGTCGTCCAATTCCTGGCGCCGCTTGGGGTCCGACAACGTCTCGAAGGCCTCCTGCAAGTCCTGGCCATCTCCCCAAACTCCTCCAGTGAGAGCTTAGAAGGGTACCCTTCTCTCTCTGCAGTCTGCTTGGTAGACCTAGTGCCCGACCTCAACCGACCCAAGCCTTCAGGGGTTTAGCTCACTTATCCCGACCTTGACCCAGGGGTCTAGCTTTGTCGCTTTGGATGTGGATGGGCCAAACAAAAGGCAGCAAAACTTGTTGCTCCAACCACTGAAAGTTGAAGCAAGACTCGCCGATCAAGTGGATGGATGGGCCAAGGCAAGTTTAATTGCCACTATGGCAACCAGACCCAACAAGTTTATATACAGTCCCACTCAGGGAGGGAGATGTTGTGTAGGGCCGTGTTGGGATGGCTTCCAGGGGCAACCAGAAAACAAAGCACATGTTTTCGGCCCGTTGAGCTCCAGGGGAAACACTCCAAACATGGCATGCAACACTTTTGGCCAACACCTTTTCCGGTGCTCTCTTAAAAGACGGAAAACAGTTTGATTCCTGATGCTTTAGAAGTTCCTCAAAAAGCCTTTAACCTTGCGCCAGTTCAAACGGCGTGAGGCTCCTGGAACCTCTGGGCCGCGTCAGCGACGTCTGGGTTCTTGTCTGGGTGCCACTTCAGGGCCAACTTCCGGTACGCCTTCCTCGAATGCGCGCAGGGGTCAGGTGAAAAAGAAAACGTCTGTCTGGGAAACTCGCGGCACCCCAAGGTGCTCCAAAAAACACATAGGGAACCTATAAGAATCCAGCCCATGAAATTGATCAACATGTTCAAAGTAAAGTTTGAACACCAAAGGCCAAAGATTGATACAAATGGAACCCGGGGAAGGGAACACAAACCGACTATTTCGTTTGGCTCTTGATTTTTTTGGGGGGCCCCCTTGGGCCCCCCTCCATATGTCCCCTTTAAACATCACCAACCGGAAACCCACCTCACAGGTTGTGCATGCCACGTGTCTTGATCTCGGCCTGGGAGGCTGTGAAGGCGACTCCCAGTACCTTGCCAAAAGCGCCGGCGTGAAGAGCGCCGGGTGTCTGTTTGTGGCATCTTCCGTAGCTTTTTACAGGAAACCGATCAAAGCGGACCCACGCATGCTGGGGCTGCCCACCCAACTTGCGAGTCAGAGGGCGAGTGCTAAGCCACGAAAGTTTGATCATTTTCTGGCTGGTTTGTGGCAAATATGGGGGCTGTGGCCAGGGGAAAAGGGGACCTGTAATAAACTGCTCGGTCATTGGTGCAGGGAAGCCCCTCTTCCAAAAAACAAGGGCCATGGTCTGCATACGCGTTTGTCTCAACAAATATTTTTGAGGATCCAACATGGGCTTAATCTTGCCGGCTTCCCAGAGAAACAAAAAATAACGGTACCTTCGAACAAAGACACACAAAAAATGGAGGTGAGTCCCTGGATTTCCCCCGCAGGTGGTGTCCATTAAGGCTGGAGCTTCCCTTTAAAGGGAAATGTCTCGTTGAACATCGGATTTTGGTTCGCCACGAAAATGGCCCCGTCTCCCAAAATGTACCAAAAGTCCGGCAAACTCAGGAAGTGAGCGAGTTGCTACCATATCCTTACCAGAACTCCTGGTAGCTTTGGATTTGGCCCTCTCTTCAGAAGCAAACACTTGGACCTTCCGGGCTCCTGAACCCTTTTCCAACCAGCAGCCAGCCTTGGAAGGGCTGGAACTATAAATGGAGATTCCCTTAGTCAAGTGCTCTATAACCATAGATAGGATCTTTGCGAGTGGCAAGGCCTTTACCAAAAACACCATTTAGTATTTAATACCCTCACTTTTCTACCAGCCACCAGCTACTTGACCCTCGTCCCGACCGAGCCACGCCTTTTTGGACACCCTTTGCCTGGTTTCCTTTGTGCTTGATTTGCAGGGAACCCAGAAAGAAACACCGATGCCATTTTGGAGGGTCCAACTCCTAAACAAAGAGGCACACCCAAGTGAAGAAACCCCTCTATCGTTTTTAACTCCAAATAGCCCGAAATGGGAACACCCCCTACCTACCTGGACCCTGGTTCCGTTCCCAGGTTGTTTTTTTTGAGGGTACCTTTTTTTGGAACTAAAAAAAATACAGGGAATAGTTGGCTTCCTTTTTGGCTACCCTTTGCTTGGTTTCCTTTTTGCTTGATTTACCGGGAAACCACAAAAGAAAACCGAAGCCATTTTAGGGGGGTCACCGAACTCCTCATTTGTGGTTGCTCCAAGGAGCCCGAAATGGGAAGCCCCCCTACCTACCTGCCCAGGCTTTTTGTGAGGGTACCCTTTGTTGGAACTTAAAACAAAAAAACTACAGGGAACTGTTGGGTTCCTTTTTGGCCACCCTTTGTTTGGTTTCCTTTTTGCTTGATTCGCAGGGAAACCAAAAAGGAACACCGAAGCCATTTTTTGGGGGGTCCAATTCCTAAAAAAAGAGGCACACCCAAGTGAAGCAACCACTCTATTTGTATCTTACTCCAAGCAGCCCGAAATGGGAACCCCCCCTACCTACCTGCCCAGGCTCTTTTTTTTGAGGGTACCCTTTTTTTGGAACTTAAAAAAAAGACAGACTGGGAGTTGTTGGGTTCCTTTTTGGCCGCCCGTTCTTTGGTCCCGACCCCAGCCCCCCGTCCCGTCCGCCCCGCCGCGTAGAAGTTCCTCCTGGGCGGCCGCTGCGCCCAGCGCAGCGCCCGGGCGCGCCACGCGCCGAAGGCCTCGAAGGACGTCTGCCCCTCCCGGGCCAAACGCTCCAAATCCGCGGAGGCCTCCGCGTAGCGCTCCTCGCAACAAGCCGAAGAACCCCCCCCCAAAAAAAAGTCGGAAGATTCAAAAAGCAAGAACACCCACCCCAAGCAAAACAACTAAAAAAAGACAAAACCCCGGAAGATTCATCCCCAAACTAAAAGATTAGCCCAAAACAAACAGAATGATCGAGTTTGGTGGTTAATCACGCAAAGAGGTGCTCCTTTGAGTTGATGCCAAAGAGTGGTCGATAAAGAACCCTGAAGATTCATTCTCCGGCCTTTTTGGTAGGCGTTTTGGTTTCCTGCTAGTTTTGCGTGTGTTGGACGTCCTAAATGGTACAAAAGAATACGAGTGGCCACGCAGAATCCATGAGGAACCTCCCGTTTTTTTAATGGATGGCTGAATGGCCCCCAAACAATGTTGTCACAACCCCTTAAACAAAAAGATCCTGGGCCTTCCGTTACATAAATAACTGCCCGGGCCAACTATACGAATGAAGGTCCAGGACTACGAGTTGTGGCGCAGAAAACAAATAACAAATAACAATACTAATAACAATAACCTAAGCGTCCAAGGCCTCTCTTGGTGAGGCCTAGGCCTTGTTCTGTTGAAGAGGCCTACTCTTGAAGGCTCCAGGGCCTTGCTAAGTAAGGCCTTAGGCCTGAATAAGTGAGGCCTTCGGCCTTAAATAGTATGTTCCTTTTCAAGGTTTAGGCCCTGAAAAGTATGTGTGGCAATCTTGACTATGTTTGGGGCCATCTTTTTTCTCGAAGGGTGCTAGAGGGGATCCAGCCACTGGAAATCGCCCCTGAGCGGCTGTGAGCCTTTCTGGCAGCTAGCCCTACGGCCTGGCTAGGAGGTGTTGATGCAGGGGCAACCCATGTGGTTGGCACTCCTGGCAGGTAGCAATTCAGACTATCCGTGTGTGATTTCACAGGCACTCCTGGTATCGAATTCGATTTGTTCACAAATATATGTGGCTGGGTACCGCCTGGACCGTGGACAACCCGTGGATTACCCGTGGAAAGGCCTCGAAAAGCCATGGAACGGCCCCGAAAAGTCATGGTTTGCCCGTGGACAGGGGTATATTTGAGGGTAGCCCTGAAACGACACGATCCGGGACGTGTTTTGTTTGGGGGCCCGTCCGAATTTGAAATCCTTGGATACGTTTGGTGGAGCGTGATCCATGCTCTCTTTGCCATCTCGCGCTGGTTTAGACGCTCTCTGAAGATGCAGCGATCGCGCAAGGGAAACAGACACGTGATACACCCAAACTTTTTTTGCATAGGTAGGGTGCATGGTTTTCGAAGTATAGTTATAGATTTATGCGCATTTCGGATGGTGTTACTAGACAAAACGGTGACTTTTTTGGCAAAACGGGGCCTGGGGAGGCCTCAAAAAGGCATGGTTACTCAGCACATATACTCGCCATGATACTCAATGAGGCCTTTTGACCTTTTTGAGGCCTCTTGTCAGAGGCCTATCTTCGAAAGGCCTTTGGACTCTTCAGGAATAAAGAAACATATCCAACAAAATAATAATAATAATAATAAATGTTTTTGTTTCTTAAGAAAGTGATCGATCCGTCTGTTTCTTCAAAGGGCGAGGTGCCAGCTCCATGAGGAGCACCGCGCGCCGGAACCGCGGCTTGGCGTAGCTCGGGGCCAGGCTCAAAGCCAACGAGGTGTCCTCCAGCGCGGCCCGGCGCTGGCCTCGGGATCCGCGGGAAACGAAATCCATGCGAAAAACCACACACCCAAGCAGGCAACCAAGTCATGTGGGGCAAAAGCGGGGAAACAAGTTGCTGGATAGCCAAGTTGCTGCCTTTTTTTGGCAGTCACTGTTGCTGGCTTTTGGTGTAAAGTGCATAAAAAAAAAAGCAAATGGCGATCCAGGTTGGTTGAATTCTTAAGGTCCTAGTCATGGTTATGACCTACAAAGTTGGTTGAACAGAGGCGACGAAAGCGGCCGGGCCGACAACCGACGCTGGAGGGACAAACGGCTCAGAAAGGGGTCAGTCCACTGTGCGGTAGTTTGACCCTCCCCGAAAAGTCGCGTGAGGTTCTCTCTGTGGTTCTTGTCTGCAAAGATATGGCCTCTTAACCTTTCCTTGTCTGCTCAACTTCCTTTGTTGGTCTTCAGTTGCTTGTGTGCCAACCAGTTGCTTCACTCTGAGTCGCCAACAAAGTCATCGTAAAATGCACAGAAGGATCCCCTGCCGCTTGTGAACACATGCTCAGAACCCATGTTGGAGACTTATAACTATAGAACAGGTTAAACAACCGGGAAGGGTCACAAATGAACCCTGTACTCAGCGCGCTTTTTCCTTGAGCCATACGCAGTCGTAATGATGAGACTGCGCAAGTGAGACATTCATGCATTGGGGTTTTACATGGTTGATAAATGCATCACGTTACAAACTACACCCCCCGTGCCCGAATGTGAAACAGGAGGACAAATGAAAGGGATGAAACAACCAAAGAAACCCGATCGGCATGAAGTCCTTTTGCAGTACACAAGCACTTGGATTCGAGCAACCGGCAGTTAAGGTCTTCCGCCTCCACTGACCGTCGCTCTCGCGAGGCGTGCTCATGCACTGTACATTGATCCTCGGCCAACATGGATTGAGAAGTATAATGAATATTGAATTTGAAATGTAAATGGATGTCAGCCGAAGATTGAAAATATTGTTGAAGAGATCGCTCATTCATCGCCAATCCCAATTGCGGGAGCTCTTCCACGGGCGCTGATCATCAGACCACCACGAGTCCCAGGATTGGCCCCAGCTTCCCCAGTACGACTGGCTCCATTGACGATCTTGCCATTGGCCACCGGTCTCCCGGAGCTGCGGAATGGGCTTGCGCGTCACACCGACAACTGCAGGGAGCGGGGTGGCTCGTCCAGGGATCTCGATGCCGGGGATCTCCCTCTTCGACGAAGCAGAGCAACTCAACCAATACCATTTCGGGGTCTCCCACAGACGAGAAATCCCGGGTCCAGCCCATCACGGGGTAGCGGTTGCTCTTGTCAAGGCTTCCATACAATGCAGCAAATTGTTCTGGTTCCAGAAATCTGCCACCATGCACCACATACACGTCCTTCGGATCAACCTCCTGCACGTCCTCCGTTGGCGGCACCAGCGTTAGCCGTGCGTGATATTTCGGCACAGCAACGCTTCCTTGGATCATTTCCTTGGTTCTCCCGAAACTCGAAATAATGCATCGTGCCACCTTCTCGATAAACTCGAGGGCGGACGGCGTCAGGTCTCCCCGCGCGGCAGTGTAGGCATAGAAGGGGTCATTGATCAGCCTCTCGTACAACGTGGTGTACTCCTTGTTGCGAAGAACTGCTTTCTTGGCAATGTCCTTCATGATCCCGAGGCCCCCTCTTGCGCTTCGATCCCCTCGCGCATCCTTCCTCTGCGTCAAGATCTGAGTCTCAACCTGGTCCATGGAAAGCGGCACGCCCAAGCTGTTGGCCATCTCCTGCAATCGGACGACCCTGGCTATTTTCTTGATATCGGGCATGCGCTCCATGAGACGGTCACACTGGAAACAGTTGATGGTGCCGACCGGGATGAGGATTTTGCAGCGCGGGCACTCAACGTCGGGGATGTGCATGACCTCCGCGAAGCGCCAGTTGGTCGACTTCTGCTTGTTGGGATCCAAGTCCTGCCACAAACCACTCCGGCCTCGGGTTTCCCCGGGCTGCTGCGTCACAGCTCGGGCCCAGTTTCTGTAGAGGCCATAGCGGGCGGTCTCGAATTCAAGCGCGACCTGCTCTTCCTTCGGGAGGTTCTCGTCGTAAACGCCCCTGACCTTCGTCACATTGCCAATGCGGTGGGGCCGCGTCATGTCGCGGCACGCCGTCGGGGCCCACTGTTTGTAATAGAGCTTACACTCCTTCTCTGCCTTCGCCATGAACGATTCCAGCACTGGGGTCCCGACAACGCCCTTCTGGGTCTCTTCCCGATACTTCTTGATGCTGTCCTGGTAATTCCGTCTGACGCTGACATACATCCGGTTAGACCAGATAAACTTTGCACATTCAGCGTCGTAGGCGTAAATGAGGACCTTGTTCGTGATCCAATCCTCCGTCACCAGGGCTTCCCCGTCTCCAGGTGCGTACAGCCGACATCCCAATTGGATCAACATCTCCACATCGACGGCGATGTTGATGGGTCGGTCAGCACGCGCACCACCCGCCTTCCGGCCATGCCTGTCCCAAGGAGGCACTACCGTTAGGTAGGCGTGACCACGCGAGGTTTGCCGGTCTCCCATTCCGCCCGGAAAGATGCCCATGTAGATGATGTCAAAGAAATTCTGCATGTTGCACGTGTGGTAGGCGATTTTGGGCAGCGCCTTTCGGCGTGCGTCCGAGAAATCTTTGCAGAAGCCCGGTCGCACACCCTTCTTTGCGTGCTCAATGGTGTAATTGACATCCATTGCAATGGGATCTCCAGGAATATTGTCAAAGCCGCTGGCCTCGGTCACCCAATCGTTGTGGCCGGTGAACGCGCGAATGCGTAGCGGCATGAAACTGAGCCCGTTCCATTGCTGCCCGGCCGGCGCGTACTCGACATAGACCTCGAACCGATTCGATGTGGACGTGGCCTGAAGAAGAGTGTATTGGGTGCAGTTCCAGTCATATCGTCGTTGGATCCATTTGGCGACGGCTGCGTAGTCGAAGGAGTTGTCCTTGAGATTGATCTCAGGGATGGATCGCGTCGCATGTTCGTGGGCATGTCCGCGAACCAAATACGACACCTTCTTGCTCAAGAACGTCCTTCTGCCATAGTTCTGGATCTGGGGAATCTTGATTCCTGAGCACTTGATCCACTCCCTCTTGGGTTCAGCAGCCTGGCCACGGGTCTCCCCGGGCTTTCCAGCAGCTTTGGAAACTGCCTTCGCCTTGAAGGTGATCTCCGGGCCACGGATCTCTCCGGGCTGAGTCTTGCTGGTCCCAGCCACGGACGCTTGATCGCTGGATGAGGCAGCCTGCATTGGCATTGCCTTTGATTTCACCTTTGGTGTCGCAGCACTGAGAGCTGCAGTCATTTTGTTATGACTTTTCCGCTTGGAAGTGAGGATGAGCTTGATTTGGCCGTCCTCACCAATGTCATTCGGATCCACTGCGGCAACCTCAACGGCCTGGCCTTTCGGCCGGCTGACCTTAGGCTGAGAGCCAGGGGGCAGGTCGAAGCTGATCAGGTCCTCCTCATCCGAAGAAGAAGACCAATCAATCACATCGTTGAGGCCGCTGACGGTCGCCGCGTGAATGTCGGGTTGCATCATCTGTAAGATCTTTGCTTCCTCCTTGACGGTGTCAAGGGGGTAGAGGGGGTTTGCCTCCTTTTCAGTCTCCAGGAAAATCTCGCGCTTCGGCTCTTGCGCGGCGATTTCGTTGATCGCCTCCAACTCCCTCTCACGGACCTCATTGTCGAAAGGGTCCTCAGGGTTCTTTGCAATTGCCGGACCGCCAGTTTCCTGGGGTGTAGCGCCAACGATCGGGATAGATGTGTCAATGTTCATGTATTCCCTTTCGAGGCGGTACCAATTCATCGCCATTTCGAAGCGGTTGATTTGGCCAATGCAGTACCCGAGCTTGGCGGCGGCCACATAATAATTGATGTAGTGCTTCCTGTTCCGCTCGGTGTCATCGGTGTGGATGCGGTCAGCTCGAGACGTGTTGGATATGAGAGTCTGGGGGTCGAGGACGGTGATTCCCGCGGAACCATGCAACAAACGAGCATGCCCGTCCATCTGAGTCTTGTAAGATTCACTCAGTCCATACGTCTCATAGTCCCTCGGCACGATGAGGACGACCTGGACGACGTCTTCCCGAAAAGCAATATGGCGTAGCCGGTCACGGACAGTCATCACCGCTCGGGCATTCCTTTCGATGATGTCCATCGCAGCCTTCCGCTTTGCCTCGGAATCAGTGGCCCAGCCCGCTAGGGCGGCGGGGTTGTCGATGTAACCGTTACGACCGACAACGTCATTCCCGGACCACGAGATCACGATGACGTACGGCCGGGGCTCAGGCCTTTCGGCGAGCTTTAGCATTGCCCGCTCAGCAGCGTCAAGAGATTCTGCTAGTCCTTTGCCCCATGTCATTTCGGACCAGACCTCGTGCTTGTGCCCAAAGAGCGTCCGCTTATTCTCCTTGAGGATGGTGCCAACATCTGTCTTTGCTCCATCTTTGACCAACGCATTGAAGGAGTCGCCGAAAAACAGATAGTTGACCGCGGGTTTCCCCGGGCAGAAGAGGATGTCGAAAGCCTCAGCCGGAGCCTCTTTGAGAATTCCCGCAGTACCTGTCAACGATGACATGGCGTTCTTGGCGAGAGCCAGCGCATCGGTACGTTCACTCATCTTGGCAAGGTCGACACCGGAGTTCACGTCCTTGACGATGAATGATTGAGTTGCCGCATCACGGAACATGTCTGACCAAGCCTCTCGGTTGGCGACGCGCAGCTCGTCGGGGATGACCTCGGCCTTCACCTTCCCATCGTGCAGGATGTAGTCCGAGCCGTAGTCAACTCGAGCAAGCGGCACATCTTTGTAGTGCCTCTCGGAGAACGCCGAGCGTACCGTCTTCAAGGCCTTCTCCACGGGCAGTGCTTCAGCCATGGTCGCGACAAGTATACGTGTTTCAGCAACCTTCTCTCCAACCGACACTGCATAAGCAAAAGCCTTGTGAACCAAGTCAG